ATACGCGTGTATTATCTTGACACGCGTTTCATACGTAGCAAGCAGCTGATTGCAATCAGGCGCCCCGCGTCAGACGATGAGTTGCGTCGTCCCTGCCTACCTTCCGTACGCGACCCGTGATTTGCTAACTTTTTTCCCTTGTAATTAAAAAACTAAGCTTCGGATAAAATTTTGACTAAGGAAGAAATGTCTTAGAATCACGTCAGGAATACATTATTTTAAAGACAAACGCGTTTTCTGAGACACCCTGTATAGCAGTCTTTTGTTTTAATTTTTTTATGACATCCTTCGATAAATCAAATGTTTTGCAACATTTATTTACTCGTTTTAAACCACTGCGAATTGCTAATAAGGCTGTAAGCATTGGTAATTGCATTTTGTTGCGCAATTTATTTTTGATGATATTCATTATACTAAACAAACGTTCAACGTCTGCATTGGAATGAGGTAACACTAATAACTCTATAGCAAAATTCGTCAACTCTTTGAATGGTTTGTTACCACCTGCGTCCGTGTAACGATTTACTCCATACAAAAACTTTTTTGTATCTTTTACCTCATTCCAATGTAGAAGATGTACTTTTTGCCATTGTCGCTCAATGGTGTCAATAAGTTCAGCAGATGTTTTAAATTCAATCAGTAAATTTGTTAGTTTTTGTTTATTGTGTTTTAGTGCTTCTTATACATGAAATGTGTTGTAAGACTTTATAGTTGTCGGGCAAACGAATTTGTATTTGCTCAATCAATTTGACCAAAAAGTTGATATATCTGTTCCTCAATTCTCTTTCAACTTTTTCTGAAAAACCGTTGTTTTTCATTTCCCTTATTTTTGTTTCGAATAAGTACCCTGGGTAACAATTGTAATCGATATAATTATTTATAGAATCAGAGAAAACATTTAAATGTCGCCTAGGAAATATAATCTTTTTCACAAAACTATCTAGTAATAATTTAAGAACCTCAAAAGTTTTGTTGAATCAACGTCATTAGATTCAAACAGTTTGTTTAGCATTTGAAGCTCGAAAAGTATTGGCTTTAGAAAGCATAAATGCATAATTTATGTCGTCATTGTAGTTTTGTATAGTAATTTAGTCATATAGCATTTTTCCCTTTGTCGACAGATATTGAAGTGACACTTCAGCGACTCCCACTGTCCTCACTGATTATATATTCTGCTTACGCCAGATTCAATGGAAAGCCACCTAGTTTGGCAAGCTTGAATAATTTTTAGTGGATTTTGATCATCATTCAATGTTTTATATATTTCTTTATAGGCTGCCTGTCTCAAGTTGAGTGACTGAACCACTTATACGTTTCTTGTATAATGAACTCTAAATTTCTTGGTAGGCATTCCTTTGCAGCGGCAGACGCCAAGTTGCAATGAATGGCATAAACATTTAATTAAAATTAAGTGTGGAACTTCAGATTTAAGTTTGTGGAAGACGCCATTGTTAACACCAAGCATGACAGAAGCGTTATCTGTACCAAGACCCCTCAGTTTTTGTAAATCCAAATTAAATTTATGCAAGGTTGCTTTTATGCAATCAATCAATGAATCTGCATCACAATTGATCAAAGGCACAAGGTCGAGGAAAGTGTATACGATTTTGTTTGTATTTTCGCTATAGTAAATTATTATACCAAGATATTTTTGTACGGAAATGTCGGTTGACTCATCAATAATTAAACTATAGGGACTTGATCCGATATCTTCTTTTAAGTTTTCAATAAAATAAGGACAAATGACATTTTTAATTATGTTGGAACATTTCGTACGGTGCAGTTGCAAATAATCGGCTGAGTTGACACCACTAAAATAGACTTTGTAAATATCGTTGAGGTGATCAATCGTTCTGATGGAGGTATGAGCGGCGATAAACAGATACAATCTTCCCTCGACCTCTTTTGCATTGTTCACTGCATCCAGCGAGGTAAATGGTATTTTTGGATTGGCCTTCGGTCCCAGAACGATATTTAGATTTGTCTTGTGTTGCTTGGAATTTCCATGATCCTTGAGAGAAACATACCTGCTTGTTACAATTTTATTACAGGCTTTGCACTTTCCAACAATTCCATTTGTCGAATTTACTGCAATTAGCCAGTCCTTGAATAAAGGGTTATGCAACCATGCATTTCGAAATTTCTGCTCATATTGTGGCTTCGAAACCTGCAGAAAAATAATCCAACATTAATAAAAATCTTTAAATTAAAAAAATTGTATAAATACCTTAAGAGTATTAGACATTTCAAAACTATATATAGCTTGGTTTGCGGTGACTGGCGAAAGCAACATACAGTGCTCTTACATTCTACAAGAGAAGTCGTAAATAAAATATTAGCAATAATGTTTATTTAACAATTGTATAATTATTTTTTTTATATTTGTAATTACCTCAGCTGAAAGGGATCAAACGGGATCAAACATGCCATCACAGAGTGAGGGTGCAGTCCTATGGAGCGTATCGCGTGTATCGCGGATTAACGGATCGCCAATCACAGAATGTTTCGATCCGCTAATCCGCGATACGCGCCATACGCTCTATGGCCGGAATCAGACTAGGCATTAAAGATTGAGATTGAAGATTGAAAGATTGAAATTTGACCAATCAAAACAATAGGAGCTAAAATTCCTTTGCCCTCATTGGTCAAATTTCAATCTTCAATCTTCGATCTCAATCTTCAATGCATAGTCTGATTCCGGCCTATGGGACTGCACCCTAAAAGTGAATACACATGCGCGAGAATGTCCAAAGGTCTGTTCTTTATTCCTGTATTCTTTGAAATAATGCATACGGTGTAGTAAGTAAAAGTGAAGAGTCTAAGAATAGAGAACAGATTTCAAATTTTCCGGAAACATGAAGTAGGAGTAATCAGTTACAAGATTTTCGGCTTAGACAAAATTCTACCAGAAAATCTACTGTTGTGCTGATCATTCTACCAGAAATTCGACTAGCTACCAAAATTAATTTTTGCCTACTAGGGGTGTATTCCGAACCGGATTAGCTTAACTTATTTTTTTCCTTAGATGTTGGCAGTTCTGTAACTAAACTGAGAAGTGTTCCGAACCCATCGTCGAACTCAGCTACTGGCTTCTATTGGTTACGAGTTACGACAGCCGACGGGTTCGGAACACTTCTCGGTTTAGTTACGGAACTGCCAACATCTAGGGGAAAAAATAAGCTAAGCTAACCCGGAATACACCCTAGATGCCATTCTATCAGATCTGGTAGGAAATCTACCGAGTTGGCAACACTGCTTCTCACTTCCACAATTCGTGTACTTTCGCAATGCGTATGCGCGTGTTCCCAACTTATTTCATCATATTTTATCATGTTTATTATGTCCGACGTGTTCAATAATGAAGTTGAGTTTGTTATTTGGCTTATATAAAAGTACTAGTTAAAAAAAGGAAATAAAGCTGCGATTTTGTTATTTATGTAAAAGAAAAAGCACAGAAGATAAAAAGATTACTTTACATAAGTAAGTTTAATGACAAATGATGAAAGTACATGTCCGATTGCTTACAATAGTTAATAAAAATTAAATTATTCTTTTTATATAGGGTGTCCCATTTTAATCCCTCACCCAAAATATTTTGAAAAATAAGTGTTTTAGAGAAAAATGCTTCGAACAAAAGTTGTTCAGGACAATGGGGGTCATCTTTCTGCATTGTTGGTTTTGACTTTGAGGTCAATTTTCAAGGTTATTTGAAGGTCACGGTGATTTTTTTTTAATAGGAACCCCTATTTTTGACACCGGATTCGGAAAGAGCGGGAAATTTTACGTCCGAAATGATAGTTAGATAATTTGCTAGAGTGACCTTCAGAAGGTCAAATGTTGAAAGTCGTCAAATGTTGTCAAATGTTGAATTGTCCAGAAGCTGTTTTCTTCGAACCGTAGATTTATGGGCGAACAAATGTTTGAGTAGACAACGACCTTAACCGTTTCTATGCCGTGTAGGAGACAATATTGTTCTATGTATTGCTAAACAACGGAAATACAAGAAAGCAAATACTAATTGCAAATGAAATGTTGCATTAGGAGGAAGGTAACCAATACGCTTTAGAAATTGTTTTTAACAATGAAAGAAAGGAAATACACGGTATTTGTGAAATGCAAATGAATGTTTGCATTCAGATGTCAAGTGTTTTTACTACTTGTACTTTTAATTTGTATCGTTCCCCGAGTGGAAATTTAAGACTTAATAAGTCCTAGAGCGATAAAGAGCTTAAAAGGATAACGAAGCAGTAAACAACTCTACGAAGAATTTGTTCGCCCATAAACCTACAATTCGAAGAAAACAGCTTCTGGACGATTCAACATTTGACAACATTTGACGACTTTCAACATTTGACCTTCTGAAGGTCACTCTAGCAAATTATCTAACTATCATTTCGGACGTAAAATTTCCCGCTCTTTCCGAATCCGGTGTCAAAAATAGGGGTTCCCATTAAAAAAAATCACCGTAACTTCAAATAACCTTGAAAATTGACCTCAAGGTCAAAACCAACAATGCAGAAAGATGGCCCCCATTGTCCTGAACAACTTTTGTCCGAAGCATTTTTCTCTAAAACACTTATTTTTCAAAATATTTTGGGTGAGGGATTAAAATGGGACACCTTGTATTTCCAAAAACACCAGAAATACGTAAAAAATGGATCGACGCTTGCGAATTGCATGAAAAAGATGTATCCCATATTTATATTTGCTCACATGAATGATCAAATGTGTCAACAATAGAAAGTACTACAGTTAATACATCGAAATCATCTGAAGTGAACATCTCCAATTCTGATATAATTCTGATATAAAACTGGATTGTGATAACGCTGTTCATTCAAAATCGGAAGCTTCGACTTATCATTCATGTAAGTTACATATAAATTATGTAGAAATAAAAAAATGTATGGTCAGAGTCAAAAAGGTTGCAATACTTTTTTTTCGATGGGTTTCCGAATGCAACTTGCTCACCGAGTGATTGGTTCTTATTAGGGGCTCCGCACAATAAAAGGAACAGAGAACAGAGAATAGAGAACAGGGAACAGGGAATAGGGAACAGTCCCAATATTAACGTATGCGATACAATGCGTAAGCACGAACAGCCAGTTCACAAATCCGCCGGTCGTGAGAAAGAGACTATCGGATTCTAAGTCACAACGGTTGACCACTAGATTAGGCTAGGTTATAGAACAGTGTTTAATGTTCATAATACATTATGGTCAGCATTGAGACTCTTCGAATTAGTGACCACGCAATGTAGGGCTGGTCAAGTAATGAGCACGCATCAGAGATAATGCTGTAGCAATTGAAGTATAATTTGTTAATCTCGTCGAGTAGTATTAGCAGTGTACGTACCCGACATCATCAATTGAACATTTACAATTGGTCGTATTAGTGAAACGAGGCAAACACATAATGTAAAGAATAACTTAATACCTAAATAATAAGAATAAGACATGCAGTCAGAATAATCGTGTTAGCATAACGGTAATGATAATTGGAACAATTATTTTGATTTAAGAAATGAAACTTTGTAATAGATAACCGTCATTGTACATTGTAATACTATAATCGTAACAAGTATAATATTTGAAGAAAATTAGTTTATCATCGCAAATTATGAACAACGCATATAAAATAAGGAAGTAGTTAACTCATGAATAACCGTCTCTGCAGAGAAATCGACTACTGGCGCGTACTATAAATTGAGTTAGTTGAGCGTTTCGTCAGTCTCGCAACTATCCGGTAAATTACAAAATCCAGTGATTTTGGGCGGTTGTTGATACTTATCGTGTAATGATTGCGCATCCAGACTATTCCGCAGCGTGTACTTTCTCATCTAATGAGTCATGCCGGCACCGCAACGCAAGGGAAAGCACTGTCTAACCTTGGCAAAGGTAACCCGGCTCATATCCTCTGCTCGTAGGATGCCCGTATAGGGCCCGGGTACCCTGGCTAGCCTTTCGAAAACAAGGTAGATACTCTCAATAGTATAAGTCACTAAAACCTCCTTAGACGAGGGTGCAACCGGCCAATGAGATTATCATGAATCTCATGCCATAATGTCCGGATCGTAATAATCAGACTCAACTTACTCGCTCAGATGTATGAAATAACCTAGCGTTATTTCCTTGTAACTGGGATTCACAATTGCAACCGGCCAATGAGATAATCATGAATCTCATGCCACAATCCGCAACTTTCTCAATCTCCTGATCGTACCGCAATCCGCAACGTTCTCAATCTCGTAAGTGAAGTCCCGGCGTTCTTCCAAATGCCTCAAGTGAAGTCCTGACGACCTTCCGCAACTTAGTGGCTCGTATGCCTTTGACTATCACTACCGATAACGTAAAAAAAATGGCGTCTCTCGCAACCAGCGCAACGAACAAAACGTGTATAATGGCGATAACGGTCCTCTCCATGGGACCAGAGAGGAAGAAGGAACCGTAGCGCCACACCTAGACGCCCAGCGCCGCGCATAGGTGCATAGCGCCGCACCGGATTACGCTAGCGCCTCAATGGCTCTCGCGCGCATGCTCCCTCGCTTCCTCCCGCTCAGGCACGCCGTCACGCACGCCGCCATTCGCAAGCCGCCACCGGCGCACGCCGCCACTCGCTCACGCCGCCACGCGCGAGATCTGAATATCCATTACACTCCAAACAATGTGTGATCACACATATGATAGTGACAACATATATTTCAACGGCTCAACAGACCAGAACGACCAGAATGACAGTGAAATATGTGATTTAACTAAAAGCAAAGATGGTGATCAATTATTAATTGATTTAGTAAGGTTATACCCATATTTGTGGAACAAACAAAAAAAGATTTTAAAGATACAGCAAAAAAAGAGACCTCTTGGGAAGAAATTTCCTCGATTCTGAATCAGTCTAGTAAATACCTGATTTTAATGATTAAAAACTATATATTTATATATCAACTTTTTATTTCTCGCTAAATATAACAAAAATATAACAAACATTTTATGCAAAACAGCGTTGAATGAGCCTAATTTCATCAAAATTGGAGATGAAAACGGTATTCTGAACATTTTACTCTCAACTTACAAGCTTTGATTATCTTAACATTTTGGTCACAATAATAAATAAAATTTATATGTTGCAAATAATAAAATATTATGTTACCTGAATTTTCGTGGGGACATATGTTTAATATTCTGGCTGATCGCTAATGTCGTATTGAAATTGTACTGAAAAATTTAACCCTGTTCCACAGACTAC